TCATTTTTTAAAAGTTAAGGAAGGACGCAAAAAAAAAATAAAGTTTTGGTATGCCGTCAAGCACCGAGCTTAGGTTTTTGGTAAAAAATAATACTTCACTTAGGTTACAAAAAACTCACACAACATAAATCTTACAACAACGATTTTAATGTTTTGGATTCTTTTTTCACTAAAATTCTAGTTTTTGAAATAGCTAATAATTTTAATTAACTATAATCAGCTCCTATAAGCTGAATTTTCATAAGCTGAACATACTGCAAAAATATATATTTAAGAAGAACAAAGCGTGCAATTGCAGTCCAAATTTCAATAAACGTTCAAATATTTTGATATTCGTATAGCCTGGAAAAAAAAATTTTCCTATAAAACCGAATAGTTGTTCTTGCCATTGGGTGTGTGGGATATTATAGTTTGAAAAATGAAGAAACATTTGAAAATTTCATCGTTAATCTGCAAAGAAAAACTTCAACATACTTTACGGGGGCATTCAAGCAAAAGCATTCAAGGTTTTTGCCTATGATAAGAGCACTCTTGCTTAGAACTTTTATTTGGGTTTTATCTGTGTTTTGATGAACACTATTGAGCAGTAAAACCGGGCGAAATTCAACTTACCGGATCCGGGTTTTCAACAACAGCCCATATATTTTGTGGTTGCTTTTTTAGTGAAAATTCCGCTTCTGATTTGAAAAAAAGGTGAAAATTAAGAAAATGTATGTACATTCATAGTTTTACAAAATTTAGGAGCTATAGAACATTTCAAGAACGCTTCAATACTGTATAAGTAACTCAACAAATACACAAAAGCGTAATTACATAAACGCACGCACGTAGATGCACGCACACGCATTGGCTTCTGCCTGGAACCCATTTGCGCGCACGCAAACGGGTTCTAGATAGTAGCCAACGCGCGTGTGCGCATAGACGTGCGAGCAAGCGTGCGTGCGTGAAGACAATCTTGTAGTTACTTTTTGTGTATTTGCTCAGTTTTTTGTTTAATTAAATAAAAATTATCAATGATTTAAATCATCGAATACAAAAAAGTCCATTATAACTACACTGCCATTGCGAGTTTTAGCTGTTTACATGCCTGACTTAATTCATACATGTTCGTGCAGACTTTCAGGTTTCAATATATCAACAGTATTTCAAATGAAAAATATTACCGTTTGAAAGGGTTGAAAAATCTTTTGGTTCCATTGCCAGCCTAATTTTTAGTTTTTAACATTTTTTTGCAGATTCAAAGTAAAGGGGTTTTGGGGAGTTTTATAATATTTGAAAAAAGAGAAAAGAACTGGGATCCAAAGAGTTGAATTTTGCCCAAAACAGTACGTCTCATACATAGATTTTTTCCATTTTTCTCTAAACTTGAACTTAACTTTGAAAAAATATTTCAACGTTGTCATAGTGTCATGATTATTGCAGGATGAACAAATTAGTTTTCTGAAACAGGTTTGTTCTTCATGTCTTACATCGTAACAAGACGCATTTGGCCATAATCACACGTAATACACCCGGGATGACCAAAAATACTAGTCATACAATTTCCATATATGGAAACATGATAGTCATACACTTTCGATACAATTCCATACGTACAAAAAATTGCATGAAAGGTCTATGACTAGTATTTTTTCATATATGGAAATTGTATGACTAGCATTTTTCCATAAACCAAAAATTTTGATTTTTTACATTTTAATTTCTCAAAATTTTTTGGTTGTGTTCGTTACCGAACACAAATGACATAAACCTTGATTACTCAAACGCAGTAACCAAAGGTTTGGCCGTCTCGCATTAAAAATGCATTGGAAACAGCCTGATAATTGTTACTTCTGTCTCACACAAATAATATAACGAAAGTAATGAATTTTTAAATTTTGGCAATAATTTTCAAAGATGATTATTTCTAAAATTTGAATTTTTAAATTACCAGACATTGATCAAAGCATACAAAGACTTGTCATACAAAAGTAAGAGGAGTTTTTTAGCCTTTTTGAAAAAAGTAATGAAGAGAAAAGGAAAAAAATCCAATATTAGTATATCCAGGACTACGTTATACACACAAAAAATTAAAGTTTGCATGCAAAATTTTTTTTCAAAAATTGTTTGTTTGAATAAAAAAATCAGTTTGCGGTTGAAAAAAAAACGAAAAAAAAAATTTTGTCGTCGCCATCAAAAAAATGCTAGTCATATAATTTCCATATATGATAATTGTATGACTAGTGTTTTTTTTTTCAGAAAACAAAATTAAAAAAAGTCAAAGATTTCAGTTGTAGCAGCCCAAAAAACGCTTAAATGTTTTGCCAGCAGTTGAATTGATTGTTCAAAGCATTTTTTTCACAAACATTTTTAAAAAAATGCTAATCATACAATTTCCATATATGAAGAATTTTTTTATGAAGAGACCAATTTCGATACCAAAACAACTATAAAGTACCTTTGAAATTCGATTAAACTCACTTTAAAAATGTATGAAAATTGTATGACTAGGATTTTTCCATAGACTAAGTGTATGAAATTGTATGATTAGCATTTTTGGTCTATGGAGGTCAACCCGGGCAACTAAGAACAATTAAAACTTGAAATGTGGAGCGAAACTGGAAAAGAGCGTATACATAAATCAGCTCTCATTAAATTGAAACAACCTGATTTATCGGAACATTATATTGTGGTGATTTTTAATGGGAAAACGGAAACATTTTTGCAACAAAGTTTGACAGATTTTTAGCGTTTTTCCACGCACTCCAGCTAATTTTTGCTGGCTTGGAGTTTGTTTTAGTTAAGAGAATTCACAGTGAAGAAAAAGTAACAACAGAAGAGCTATCCAGCTCTTTAGGAGAAACCGCTTTGCTCCCCGAATTAAGATTCTATATGCTGTTTCGGTTTGTTTTTGCATCGATCACTGATGTTAGATATCATTTGATATGAAGAAATATTTCATTTTAGGGAAAATTCTTTATTATTATAATTGTAAAATCATGCATCTAGCAAAAACCATAAACAAAACGGATTCAATGGGTGAAAATAGAAAATTCTAGATTGTACGAACAAAGAAACCACTTGAACAAAGTCCACGCTTTCCATGCACAAGCCCATTTTTTGTTGTATAAAACAGTATTTTTTGCGTAAAGCAGTCACAGCGAATTTTTTGGACCACATAAACAAAAATTAGAGACGCAGAAAAATGTCAGTGGGGGTGACGGAGACTGATTGACGAGACTCACGATTTTACAAGAAAAGGTTTTCGTTAGCTCTTTTCCTTTTCCTCTCCCAACTCACACGAGCATACTTTTTATGGTGTAATTAGTGGTTTTACGATGTTAATTTTACAATTTCCGCTTCACATTCAAAACTCAGTTTGGAAAACTAAATTTTTGTCGTAATTATTGAGATTGGCTTTTTTCCCACCACCTGCAATTTTTTTATAATTAAACTTTTGTTCTTATTTTCCGTTTTTTACAAAAGTTTGCAGGCGAAGTAGTTAGGCTATGACAATTAATTTTAGTTTTCACACAAAACCCCTTGTTACACCATAACATTTATGCTTTTGTGAAGTACGTAGAGGGAAAAAAAGAGCAATGAAAATTTGCATGGTGACTAATTTAACAAAGCACTTTTTCATTTTCACATTCCTTCCTAAAATTACAAAAAAAACTGTTCAAAAAATTTTTGGAACGGCATTTTGAATGAAAAATATGAACTCAAGTTTTGCTCACCTGTTCACGCTGAAACGTTTTGTTGTAGTTTTTGACATGAAAAGTCATTTTACATAGACTTTATCTACATCGAATTTCAGGAAAAATCAAAAGGGGGGAATTGAAAAAGAGCCACTATCTCTTGTGAACAAATTGTTTCTTCATACATTGCATGGTGTGATCACGCATTTAATATGATCACGCATTTGCTGAAATTACAATGTGGGAGGGTAGGTGGTGCAAAGAGCCGAAAATTCAACAATTCCTTTTTTGAACAAACTGCTCTCCTTTGCTTTTTTCCGACTTTCGAAGTAAGGAACTTATATGATAGGGGTGATCTTTTTTATTCAGACCAATTCTCAAAGATGTTTCCCTCAAAAGGGCTCAATCTATGGAACTTCGTGATCCCAGATGGGGCGCGCTTGACACTCGATTTTTCGTTCTAAGACACTGCTGCGAAAGGTTCAATAATAGACTAACGTATATATAAGACCGCTGCAATACTTTGATGCTAAACACTTAACGCGCATTATTTACGCTTGGAGAATTATCCCACGACACAAAATCGTTCCAAATTCAAATGAGGCAGTCTAATTATGGTTTTTGTTTCCATTACGATTCTTGATTTTCAGATCAAGCTTTATAGTTTGTCAATTTTTCATTAACCAAAGACCAGTTTATGGACAGTCTGAATTTTCAGAGAGTTGCCCTTATGCAAGCAGTCTTGTTTTTCCTACTTTCGTGACGAAAGTAACGGAATATTTCAGCTGGAAGGTTTGAGATGAATGGTTTTTTTCTTCAAACAAGAATTTACTTTTTAACTAACCATTTTTGACAATTTTTTTCCCTATCATTTAGAAGGTATCGTTGTTCTGAGCTTACTTTTGAAAAAATATTTTACCTGTTTTGGCTAATTTGGGACAATTGACGCGCGATATATTTCGCGCTATTACCGCATAGGTGGAGATTTAGTCCCTCTTATAAATCGTTCAAAATTGGTTGAAGGAAGCTTATTTTTCATAATTGATTTTTTTAGGAGCGAAATCTATCACTTCGCACTTTATATGGCGTGTGGAGGATGATTTTTTCAAAAAATCTCAAATTTAAAAAGTTTTGTTTTATTTTATTACTTTTAATTTTTTCATGTTATTACTGCTCCATAGACTTTAAAGTGCAGTCGGAACCTCATGTAACAATACTAATACCAATATTCAATCGTTTTGCTGATTGTTGCAATAATTTTTTTTACGTGTGTTCGGTTCGGTGTTTTCTACCTGCGAAAAATTTGCACGTGCTTTTATATAAAATCTTTTTTTTCAACGATCAAGAGCACCTGCAAATTTTAAATAACGACAAGAAGGCTTTCAATGTATAATCAAAATGCATTGCTCTACGTTCAGCAGCTAGACTGAATAGCCAAAACAACATATTTTAAGAGTTTAACTTGAATCAATTTAATCGATTCCTTCCAGATCAAGGGCTGCCTTATACATCACTGGAAACTTCCTGAAAACAAACAGATTGCAAAGAGCTCAACGGTAGACTTTCTCAAACCTTCTATAAAAAAAGATTTACACATCCAAAATCAAGAATATTAAAGCAACAACAGAAGCGTTGAGTCATGCCAAGCAGCGTTGCGAGTGACATTCTGTCGCAGATGGACTGGGACGAGGGCATCTCAGTGCCAGTGGCGAATGAGGAGAACAAGCGACTGGAAGAAGACATCCAGTCCAAGGCCTCCCTCCTCACCCGCCTCAAGGCTGAGTTGGGGGAGAACGAGGACAGAATATATGCCATACAGGAGCACATGAAGAATGTGAGGCAGGAGTTCCAACACACCAATGCACTCACTCAGGCCAGAGGTGAGTAGGAAAACTGCCGGCGCTTTAAAAGAACCTGAAGACTTTTGGAGACCCCTTTTGATTTTCTTTAGAAAAAATAAGACTTACGATAGGTCAATTTAAATTGATTTTTGATGATCCAAACCTCAAAAAAACAATGTCAGAGTAAACAAGGGAAAAGCTTAGAATTGCATTTTAAGGCAATGTAGTTTTTGCTTGTTTTTCAGGCAATGAGGCGGAAACTGAGCAGCACTTGACTAATGTGGCCACACGGGAGCAGGGAAGGATTGCGGCTGAGATCCGGAGATTGGAGGACAGTCTGGCAGACCTGAAAGAGAAGAAGAATAGTCTGGAGAACCTCATCTTCAGAAAAAACCAGGACATCGAGGACATCAAGGTAACTAGAGCTGCTGCAGATATTAGCACTCGGGTTGACCGATACTCAAATGAAATACGGCTTTTTGCACTCCAAACAGTTTTCAAAATTTCTAATTTCATAATTGTTTTGCCTGTTTGCTAAACGTACGGTTACGATGAAGATTTTGAAGCTTGGCGGCTCTTCTTGCTCCCCCACCCACCTGCAAAATTTTACAAAGTAAGATTTCGCTCATATTGTCTGATTGTTACAAAAATTGGCTTACCGACTATTTAAGCCATGACACGGCCTTTTTTATGTTTTTCCCAAATCACACGAGCATCGAGTGTAACGAGTAGAACCATCGTGTAACGAGTGGTTCTACAAAGGTAATTATGATGACCAATTATGTTTGTCATGGCCTAATGACACCGACGCAAAGGAACAAAAGTTTTATTTTTTTTAGGTAGGGGAGGGGGAGGAAAAAGAGTCCATGAAAACATTTTTGGCCCTCAGACTTAATTCTCTTAATTCTGTTCAATTTGTTCGATTGTTATGAAAATTCACGTTATCTAATTACACTGGACGAAATAAGAGCAAATTTGGCATATTGAGCAAACTAATCTATCGTGATTAGATTTGTTCTTAATGCTCGAAGTTACGTGACATTTTACGTTTTTTTGGGATAAGATTGTTTTTCTGATTTTTTCATTTTGTTTCCCAGATTCCTATGCCTCCCTCTCTTCCATTTTTTCCACCTTCTGAATTTCCACGTTCCACCTTCTTTTTTTACCTTCTGTATTTATCGCCAAACGCGTTATCTTACGAAACAAAAGTTTGACGAACAAATCTGTTCACAATTTTAAATCTGTTCACCGTGATTTTTTCCCGTGAATAATGACACTGTTAGAGTAGTTGTGAAAAATGGAAATTGAAAGAAGAAGGAAATGGAAAAGAGCTAAGCCCCTTATTAAATTACATATAAAAAGGAACGGGATAAGAGCCGAATATCATTTTGAATAAGCTTTTGTATATATAGTTTTCGGATAGAAACAAAGAGGGGAGTGGAGAGCAGCCTTTTTAGCACAAATATATTTGAACTTTATCTGCAGGCTATCTTTGGTCTGACCGTGTCTCACGTTGGCAATTTACCAGTTCTACTAAATCTAATAGATTATTCGGTTCTTTTCCAGATCCCCCCTTTCAAATTCAAATTTGAAAAGCTTATTTAACATTGCCATAATGCAATGATATTTGGCGTGGTGAGCAAATCGACAACTGTGAACAGATTTTTTCTTCATAATTTACAGCGTAACGTTACGCATTTAGCCGTAATAACACGTAAAACAAACTTAAAACTCAGTATTTTGAAAGGGGGAACTGGAAGAGAGCCGGTTATCCTTCGCAATTTTTGTAATTACACTATTAATTGATTGCTTCTAGGGTCAGCTGAACTGGGACCAGCAAGCTCTAGAAGCTTGGCTGGAGGAAGCGGCAAAGAAGGACGAGGACTACATGACACTGCAGAAGTACACCCGGCAGGTATTAAAATCTACACAATTTCAACATTCTTATCATTTCTCTTTTTCAAAGTTTTCATGCCTCGAATAATGTTTTCAATGGATCTCTTGTTTGTGTTTCATGTTGAAACCATGTTTGCCGACCAATATGCTGAAACGCACGTTTATGCATGTCTCAGCTCTTCTCCCACCATTGTTCAGTGTAATTGTCCCGACCGCCCCATAATGAAAGCCCCATCAGTTTGATTTAGTTTTGCTATTATTACCTATTTTCATATCTTACTATCTAATTCAGTTCTCTGTCACTATCTCATTGGCTTAAAAAATAGGGGGGAAACTTTTTTTAAATTGGCAACTTTTTTTGATTTTTTTTTCTATTTTTTAGATTTCAGTGCATTAGAAAACTATTGCTAATAACAGTACTGACTATCAGGGGCGGATTTAGTGGGGGGGGGGGGGGGGGGATGACGCCTTCCTTCAGGTATTCAACCTCCTGCCGACCCCAAGGGTCCCCCCTTTGTACTATTTTGAGATATCCATTTTTGGCTGACGGACCCTAAAAATTTTCTAAAGGCGCCTTTGTAGCCAATTTATACTAATTTTGAAGGGGGAGTGCGCGCCAAAAAAACGCAATTCTTTGGTCAACATTTTCAAAAAGCGGCGCAGAGAATAGTCTTTTCAGTGCTTTGGGAGAGCTCGGAATTCAATTTGATCGACCTAAAAAAATCCTAGATCCCCCTCGAGAAAATCCTAGATCCGCCCCTGCTGACTATCTTTGTTATTTTAATGAAAATTTCGGGCCTAATATAAAGTTTAAGTTTACTTATGCAGGACGAGTCAAAAATCAAAGAAACGACTCTGAAGATCGAGAAACTCACGGAAGAAGTGGCGGCCAAGAAAAGAAATCTTGAAAACGAAACAACAGAGACTCTCACCTCTCAGCTTGCACTGGATAAAACAGCCGAAGAGTTCCGAAAGGCGCACTTGGAACGACAAAATCTGATTGGTCAATGGGAGCAGACGATAGAATTGATGAAAAAACGAGACAAGGACATCAACGATTTATCAATTCAACTTGCTGAAACTAAGAACCACGTCTTCGAAAACGAACAAATTGTTCGCGAAAAAGAAGAGTTTAGCCAACAGGAGCAGGAAAACAACGAGGAAAAAGAAAAGCAGACAGCTTTGAAAGACCGAATGGTGGCGAGAGTGCGAAACGAATTAGCTGGAGTCGAGAAAAGCCGCAAAGATTTTTCTGACGAGCTCGAGTCGCTGAAAAACATTGTTGAAAAAACCAGCACACAGTTGGAAAATACGCGGAGTTCAATTGCGGCTCTGAAAAAAGAAATCGAAAAAATGGCGGAAAAAATTGAAAGTCTGAAAAAAGAGCGAAAAGCACTTCAGGATAAAATGACAGTTGCAGTTGAAGGCAATTTGTCAGCTGAACAAAAAGCAAACATGATGGATAAAATGATGGAAGAACAGGAGCAAAACATCAGTGAACTCTCGAAGTTCATTCAAGCTCTTCACGAAGGTCACTTCAAAAAGCAACAGGAGTTGTACCGCATGAACAACAAGGAAAAAGACCTTGAGGCTGAAATTTCGGGAGCTAAAACGGCGGCCAAAAACCTGGCTACTCGAATCGCAAAACTTGACGGCGATACTTTGAAACAACAAGAGTTGGTCTATAACCAAGATTTTCAAATTCAAACTCTAGAACGACGGCTGTGGCGCATGCAAGGAGAAGTTAAATCAAATGCTGAGGAGAAAGCTTTGAATGCCAAAGTTGACGAGCTAAACGAAGTATTGAACGAGAAAACCCAACGACATACTTTGCTCTCTACTCAATTGAAACAACTGGGCGAAGATATGCGACGGCTGAAGCGGGAATACGAACTGGGAAATAAAGAAAAGCAGGACTTGACTGAAAAAATTGACGAGTTGGATCTGCATAACGACACCTCTTCCAAAGCATGCAAGAGTTTGCACAAGGGCAAGCAAGAAAAAATGGTCGAAGTTGGTCTGCTACAACTTGAGATCAAAAGGTTGCGTGATCTTCTGAACGCGAAAGCGGACGATGTGATGACCTTAGAAAAAAGAAGACTTTGGATCGATACTGCACTGAAGGAACGCCTGCAGGAAATAAATGTTCACCAAGACATGTTGAAGTCCCAGATAAAGGCGGGCGAAGATGAACGTCAAACCATTTCAGTCGAGTTGCATGAACGAATTGCCAAGATTGACAAGTTGCGTAAGCGATATGAAATTCTGATGACGTCAATGGCTCCTCCTGAGGGCGAGGAGGAACGGTCGGCAGCCTATTACGTAATCAAAGCGGCTCAAGAGAAGGAAGAGCTGCAACGAAAAGGTGACATATTAGATGCTAAAATCCGAAAAGCCGAGAAGGAAATCCGTGCGCTAGAAAACACGCTCCGGCTGTTAAATGGGAGAAACGAAACTTACCGAAAAAGTTTCAACACTGTGAAAGATACCAGCGAAATGGTCGAGGATAAGGACAAATTGGAACAGCAACAAAAAGCTGCCCTAGATAAAATGAAATACAAAAGACGACAACTGCGCGAGATTCAAAATGATTTGCAAAGTATGCAAGCAACGATGGAACGAATTCAGAATGAAAGCCACTCGATGTCCGCCCTGAACGATGAAAAGGCGAAACGACTTGCGATGGTTCAACAGGAAATGATCGAACAGCAGGACAAAATCCAAAGAGCGACTAAGGTCGTTTCACGAGAGGCAAGGTCTTTGCGTCAGAGCAAACAGTCCAGCTCCCAAACGATCGAGGAGCGAGACTTTGAGCTTCGTGAACTGAGAGACTTCAACCGAAATATCATGAAGCAACTCGGCGACATAATCAATTCAGCGCCAGCAGCTGGAGCAGATATTCTAGTCATGTTCAAACAAGCCGGACTAGAAGTTCCTCCGGGTTCCGCTTCCAGCAGCCGAGCATCGTCGCAAGCAAGCTCAGCTCGGTCAGACGCTGGGGCTCGATCCGGAGGTCTGACATCTCCGAAAGCAACCGTGTCACCGAAACCAGTTCAGATCGGGTTTGGAGATGCACCGCTGGGACCGGCTACAGGTAGCGCCGGATCGCAACGTCGTGCCTCGGGTGGAGCGGGCGGGAGTCGAACCTCATCGCGGTCCAGCGGAGGAAGTAGAAGATGATTGGGAAAAATTTGACGTCAAATATCTCATTCGATGAAATGATCTATTCAATAACACTTAGGCCAAAATTTTTAAACAAAAAAAGTAAAATTGAAGTTTTTCTTTGGGATTTTTGATTAGATTTTTTTTGTATCCCACTAGATATACAGTTCAATCGCAATAAATTCATGAAGTTTAGACTTCAGTTCGATCGCAATAAAAAATTACGAAATTCTGACTTCTTAAGTTTTGGTCAAAACAAAGCAAAATAAGGGTTTTTGTTTCCATACGAGAACAGCGTATAAAAAAAGAATGTAGAAGAGAAAACATTCAGGCCAACTAAGCAGTTGGTGATTTTTTTGATCTTCTTGTTTTTTTTTGTTTTTTTTTCTCCCTCGTCTCAGATCAACAAATACATACAAAGCAGTATACCATTAATACCACTGAGCATATTCTCTTAATAAATCATAAAATTTTTTCCGAAATGCGAGCTAGCCTCCTGCCTGGCTTTCACCAAACCAGAATTTCAATGTTTGTCAATCTTAATAGTACTAAAGTCTCATTGAAAAACTTCGTAAGCGTTTGGGGGAAAAGTAAGTTGAGAAAAAAAGTTGAGTAAATTTTGAAATAGTGAAAAAAGCAAGCAACAACAATATTGAGCATAAAAATAGTGCTGATTTAAATTATCCGGACAAAACGAACATAACTTGAATTTTTGAACGCGTTTTTCTCAAATTGGGTTAACATTAGACAAAAAGTGAAGAGAACAAAAGTTGCTTAAAATTTCATCAGAATTAATATGGTGCCATTTTTTCTCCGAAATTCTTAACAAAAATTGTACCCCAAAAATGGGTCAATTTGGCTTTTTTCAATTAATCAAAAATTACGCTGAAACTATTTTGTTAATTGATACACAGGAAGCCTCTTACGCAGCTTAACAAAGTTTAAGAGGGGTTAAAATTCCAAAAAATTTGCTCAAATTGTTTAAAGTTTATTTTTTAACAGAGATTCTGGGTTTTATATAGTAAAAATCACATTTATTGACTATCAAATTTTTTCTCTTATACTGGTTTTTGGAGATTTAACCCTCCTTAAACTTTGTTAAGCTGCGTAAGAGGCTTCCTGTGATACAATTTTCGTATCAATTAACAAAGTAGTTTCAGCGTAATTTTTGATTAATTGAAAAAAGCCAAATTGACCCATTTTTGGGGTAAAATTTTTGTTAAGAATTTCGGAGAAAAAAAATGGCACCATATTAATTCTGGTGAAATTCTAAGCAATTTTTGTTCTCTTCACTTTTTGTCTAATCTTAACCCAATTTGAGAAAAACGCGTTTGAAAATTCAAGTTTTGTTCGTTTTGTCCGGATAATTTAAATCAGCACTGTAACAAATGAAAACTAAAAACTTTTTTCACGCGTTTGAATGATATAACAGCTCCATCCACAAACCATTTACTTAGACTAGAAAATATTTTCAAAACATCTATATCTGACCATTATGAGGTGCTTATAAAAGCCACTTCTCAAAAATGAAAAAATGAACCACGTAAAACTAAAATCCGACCGTGGTAATAACTTGAGTCGGAATCTTTTGTGAAAGAACTCGACAATTCACTAAATGAAAAACTAGTTGATAATGAAACAAAATGTTTCAAATCAATTGCTATGAGAATTTTTTCGTCAAACGAAAAAAACAAGAACTAACACTGAATCATTTTCCCCCGAACAACATTAACAAGAAAAATTACGAAGAACTGGTAGAAAATGAAGTATAATAAGCAGGTTCAAAAAAACCGTGGTTCAGAAAATTTGATATAAGCCAACAAACAATTTAATCACTCTATTTAACCGAGCTGATTTTTTCCAGAGAAAATCATCAAAAATGTTAAATTTCAACCTCTGCTAAATTTCAACCTCAATTTATAACAGAACGAACCAATATCTCAAAAAATACCAAATGTTACAAAAATGCTTGTTTGGATTGAAATAGAAATGGAGTACATTATTTTGGTAACCAAAAACGAAAGAGTGCGCCAAGATTGAAACTCTAAGACAACAATGACACGCTGCACCACCTTTGCCCTCAAAAAAGCGTTTGATACAGTTGAACACACGCTTTTACTAGAAAAAAAGACGCTTAAGGATTTCGGGAATCGTTTTTAAAATCTTAATTTAAAAATAGTCAACAATTCGTTGCCACTAAAACCAAACGGTTTCAAATTGAAAGAATATTTTATCGAGCTGAGGTATAATTTGTAAATGGGGATCCAAATAAGGCCCGCTTTTCTTCATATTTTAATTAAATGATATTGAACAACAAAAAAAGTGATCTGGTTTCATTTGCAGACCACACTGCCATAAGAAAACAACTACTAACTGTTAATTAACCGGTAGACATCAGGAGTCATTGGACCAAACAGGATGCGTGTTGCAAAAAACAAACCTGACTCAAATGAAGATAAGAGAAAAAATTAAAGATGCAATCTAAAAGTAAAGCGAAAAATTAGACGTAAAACTGAATGGAAGATCTCTCGAATCGAAACAATCCTTCTGTTAATTGGGTGTTCAAAAACTGAAAAAAAAGTTGTCAAACTTTGTGTGGAATATTTTACACAATGAAAAAGGAGCTAGTTAAAAATCAACTAATAAAAGCATTTGGCGCTTATGTGCAACTCATTTGTCAAGAACCCCTGTCATTTTCCAAAGCTGTGATTGGAAAAATAAACAATGTTCTGTCTCGTTTTCTGAAGCACACGATTCAGTGACCATAAATGACTTCCAGGCCATCGCGACCGCTTGATCGCTACAGTACTTCGATGTTTTTGGTTTTTATTTGATATCTACAGCCAAAGTTTATCGTTTTATCGAAAGAAAGTCCAGGAAAAATTTTGCCATGTAATTTATCAGTTTTTGAGATATGATAAATATAAGTCTTCAAAGAGATTTAATCGAGCTAAACATGGAAATTTTTTCAAGGCATTGTTTTCCAGGCATTGTTCGACAAGTCAGAGAGGTGCTCTGGGTGCGGGACATCAAGCCGAATGGTAAAATAAAGGACTTCACGCCAAAATTTTTGTCAAAAACTTTTGGATTATTTTGAAAACTTTAGGAAAATGTGATCAATACCTTGAAATTTCCGTTCCAGTTATCGGCTTTTTCCTAATTGTTGAGTCTCCAAAAGTTGTTTAAAAATGTTTAAAATTCAAGCATTGTTGGTCATGATAAAATTCAAACATTTTTGGGCGTTATTGGAAAAGCATTTTTTCATGAGTATAATTTATGGGTTTTAAAATTCGGCTGAACTAATTATTTGATGCCCTGTTAAACGGTGCATTGTTATAAAGACCGCTCAATATGAACTAATCATGCCTAATTTTTTTGAAAAGAATTATTTTACTGATAAAAATTTAGCGTTTTGAGCTGCTTGTAAAATTCAAATTTTTGCTTAAAGTCCATTCAGCAGGGTGAATCAAGATCAAATCCGTCCAAAAAAGGTACAACAGAACTTATGTGAAAATTTTGACTGCATTTTAAAGTATATAGTATTTCTAACAAAAATCAACCGTACAAAAACAATTTTTAGTTTTTTTTTGCAAATCCTTCATCAACAAATCATTTACTACATATTAAATGCTGCTTATTATTGCTTCTTTCTTTGACGAACTATCATAGATTGTAGTTCGACTGTTGAAAATGGGGAGGAGCTTTGTATTCGGCTGTATTTTAGTTTTTTTGTTTATAACTCAAAACCAGGTATCACAAATAATCATTGAAATGGGTCAAATGATATATCATATTAAAGTCATTTCAATTAAGAGTTGAACAGAAATAGAACGTTTCAAAAGGTTGTTCCAGGGTCGAGAAAAACTAGTTTTGAGTGATTAATGCGATCGAGTAACGTTTGCTTCATCGGCCAATCCATTGAAAAACTTGATTTCTTTCAAAAAACAATAGTTGTCTAGTTGTGGAGGCTTCGCTTACCAATTTATTGGCTATCATAGTTTTCTATTATTAAAGCATAAATGTGCAAAAAATAGAAAGAACGTTTTTTTCTCATTTTTTGTGGTATTCCTTTTTTGAAGTTAAGTGTTGTCAGTTCTGCCTAATTCACTATTTTTTTACGCGTTTGTATGGATCACACATCACTCCACCCACAAAAATTGACACTATGTGTAAACAAAAAATAGAAGTAAAGCCTTATTTTTTGTCTAAAGAAAGTGGTCGGAACAAAGTAGTCGAAGCGTTAAAATAGATTATGTTTTGATTTTATTAGCAGTCTAAATAAAACTGCAAAAAAAATTGATTTTTGATCATATAAAATTCAATATTCGAACCTTTTGATATTAAAAAACAAATAATTATAATACAATTTAATCGGTTACTATCAATTAATTATCCATTTGTTTTTCGATACAATTTTTCGTCGAATATAGCAGTTTTTTTTTATCCCAATTTCCTTTTATAAAATGTACACAAAAACCCAATGTAAATGTTTATGATTTCTTTTGCTTGCCCTTTTTGTCTTCGACCTTTCATCTGAATTGATTTTTTATATGGTTTTTGCTGGCGTTGGTTTCTATAAAAATTTTCAAATTATTTCATTTTAAAAACTATTTCGTCTCTCCATTGAAGTTGCGAGGAGATGCGCATTTTACAATTTTTCAAAGTTACAAATACATGTCTCCAATTAGTTCATTAATATATATATAAATATAAATATAAATAAGAAAGCACCTTGAAAAACGTACAAGAAAACAATTGAAAGACCCACAGACAATGCATATCCGCAGACAATGCACACATACACAATTGCAAACATCTCTAGATACATGAACTAAAACATGAGAAGATTCACAAAAACTGGTTCTTTTAAAAAATGATAAATTAACCAAGAAAAATAAAGACAACTAGTACAATGAGCTTGAATTAAAATTTGGATTCTGATTATGGTTTTACGCCTGAAAGTTTTTCTGTGACCACATTCCTACATCATTAATTACGTATAAACATACAAGTTTACAATTGCACAAACATGTATAAACATAAGAACAAACGCACACAAAATTTGTACTGATACACAGAACAAACTTATAAAATAGTTCATCTAGAGTATCTGGTGAAGTATTTT